ATTATACGAAATTATATGGTTAAAAAACAAGATTTAATGATATAAAATACCTTTAAAAATAATTAATTTAATTTTGGTAAATCATTTAAATTACACAATTATATAATCGGATATAAACCATACGATTTAAAGTTAAAAATTAAAATAAATTATTATATTATAAAAGTTTTAATTTATTGTTTAATAATGTAAATTTTTTTAAAAAAAGTTTAAAATTCGATTTTTAATTATGTTGTTTTTATTATTTTTAACTTTTATTTTATAAGTTAAATTTAATTTCGTGGTTTTAATTAAATTTAAAAAAAAGTTAAATAAAAACCGTGTATTAAATAATTTTATTTAATTAAATAACTTTATTTAATTATATAATTTTATTTAATTAAAGCTTTTAATATAAACACTTTTTATAATTATATATATTTATTTTATATAATTTTATTTATATTAAATATAAATAATTTTTTTATTTATAATATTATTTAAATTATAACATTAAATTTAATGTAAAGTTTAATTTAAATTTAAAATTAATAATTTTATTTAATAATAAAATAATTAATAAAAAATTATTAAAAAATATTAAAAATAAATCGGTTTAATATTAAAGTATTATTATCCGGGTTATGTTTTAATTAATAACCGGGTTATGTTTTATTTTTTTCGAGATCACGTGATACGCCCCCCGCATTTTTCGGCCAATTAATTTATACCATTTTAACTTTTAAATTTATATATATATTTTTACATATATATTTATTTTTTAATTTAAATAACTTTTTTAATATAAATTTTTTTTAACACATTTATCGTTAAATAGCCCGTAAAATTAGGAAAATTATGATATTAATTGCATAATTTTAAGTAATTTATTCAATTTACAAAAAGTAGTAAAATTATATATAACTAGCTGCGTTACCCGTTCGCGCAAACGTTTACGGGGAAGGAGTGCTTAGCTTTAAAAGTGCTTTTTACGCCACATATACGGATTAAGTCTGGCCTTTTTAATTGGTTAGCCACACTTTAACGCACGTCCGATGAATTTTTTATAAAATCAATTGATTTATTATACTATTGTATAAAATTTTTAATAATTGGTATCGTTAAATAAAACGCGTTTTACATGATTTTTTTATTTTATTTACATGTGTTTTAAACTTTATGCGATAAAATGGTAAAAAAAAAAGTTGTTAATTACGGGGCGATTTTTAAGATTTAATTGGCTGGAAAAATTGTGGCAGTATTAATAAAATATAAAAAAGTTAATACTGTAAAACTTTAACCGTGTTATTATATACCGATAATTATAAAATATTTATTTACACATATAAAATCAAATTAAATGGTTAACATAATGCGACCGGTACCATTATTTTTTTTATTTTACGGGTTATTTAATAATATATATTATAAAAAAACGGTAATTATATTAAAAAAATTATTTAAATTAAAAAATAAATATGTTAATATTAATATATACATTAATATATATAAAAATACGTATTAAAGTACGTATTTGTTTAAATCGTTTTTAAAAATTTAATTAATTAATAAAATACGGGGGCGCATCACGTGATCTCGAAAAAAATAAAACATAACCCGGTTATTAATTAAAGTATAATTTAAATAATAATGTTTTAATATTATATATAATTATAATAATTTATTTAAAAATAACTTACGTAATATTATAACTTTTTTACCATTTTATTAACTTAAACTTTTAACATTTAAAAATAATTAATTAAATTATTAAATATTTATATATTAAATAAAATTTTAAATTTTAAAATATTATTTATTATTAATAACGTAATAAAAAGTTTTTTTTATAATTATATTAATTTTTTATTTTATAAATTAATAATATAAAAAATGATATAATAAATAATTATATTAACTTTTATTATAAAAGTTAAATTAATAATTATAAAACATGTTTAATAATAATTAATAAATAATATAATTAATAATTAAAAAACTTAAATTAATATAAAATTATAATATATTAATATTTAAAATATATAATTATATTAAAAATATATTAAAAATGTATTTAATATAATTTATTTATTTATTAATTAAATATTAATAAATAATTTAATAAAAGTTTTTATAAAATAATAATACTATTAATTAATGATATAAATATATTAAAAATATTATAATAATTTTCCGTTATATTTTTAATTTTATATTAATATTATAAATTAATAATTATAAAATTAAAAAATAAATTATATTAATATTTATAAAAACGGTTATTTAAATATTAATTAAATTTTATTATAACATTATTAAATTAAAAATCATTAATATTACGTGTAATAAATTATTTATTTATTTAAATTAATTTATTAATTAAAAAATAAATAAATTTTAAATGTAATTACATAATAAAACGGAAATAATTAAATAAAATGCAAAATTAAAATAAAAAATTACGTTTATAAACATTATTACGTAACTTTTTTTTTAACACCGTTAAAATTATTATTATATTAAACTTTAAAATTATTGTTATTATTTATAAAATTAATTATTAAACCAATTACTTTGTTCATTTTTTTATTAAATACTTTCGTTTAAGTTTTTAAATTAAATTTTATATTTATACTTATATTATTATTATTTTTTATTAAATTACTTAAACCAATTATTTTATTTATATTTTTATTAAATATTTCCGTTTTTACTTTAAATTTTATATTTATACTTATATTATTATTATTTTTAATAAAACCATTTAAATTAAAATTTACTTACTTTTTATTATTTTTTATAATTTTACCATTAATACTTTTTTTTATTACACCATTATTTTTACAATTATTATTATTAAAAACTTTATTTATTTTATTATAAAAATCCTTTTTATATTATGCATTTAACGTTACCGTTTATTTATTTTTTATAATAATTTTTCCGTTAATATATAAATACTTTAAATTATTAAATTTTTTATTGTTTTTTAAAATATTAAATAAAAACTATTTATTATTAAAACTTATTTAACTTTTTTTTTAGTTTTTTTATTTAAATTTATTTATAATATTAATTTATATTAAAAAAATATTTGATAATTTTTATTTAAATATAACTTTATTTATAAATTTAAATAATAATTAAATAAAAATTAAAAAGTTAATTAATATTATAAATAAATAAAAATTTATAAAAATAATAAAAATAATATATATTTTTTAAAATAATATGCATTAAATTAATATATTACCGGAAAATAAAAGTTATAAGTTTAATAAAACTATTAATTAAAGTAAAACAATAACGTTTTAATAAAAAATTAACAAAATATAATTAATAATATAAATAATTTTTAAATATAAAAAATAACGTTATAATTATTATATAATAATTACATTTTATATATATTATATAAAATAAAATAAAACGATTTATTTAACAAGTTAATCAAAATAATTAAAACAAATAAAATAATATATTATTTTTTAATATAAATTTTAAAAAAATTATTATTAATATAATATTTTTTACTGCGTTAAACGGAATTTAATATTAATAAAATATTAAAATTAAAATTATTGTAAATAATTATTATATTAATTATTTAAAAAATAAAAGTTTTAATGTTAATAAATATATACGTATAATAAAACAATAAATAAAGTAATTAAAATAATAATAATGTTATAATTAATATATTAATGATGTTTAAAAAAAGGAAACTATTTACGAGGCCATGTTAAAAACATGGTTTATTTATATATATATATGATTTTTTTTAATTATCGTATAATTATAATTTAAAAATTAAATTAAAAATTAAATATAAAACGATAAAAATATAAAAGGTAAAAAAGTTTAATTTTAAACGGAAATTAATAAAACGCGTATAATAAATATTAATAATATTAAAAAATTAAATTTATTAAATTATTTTAAAACTATTATTATAATAATATAAATAATAATTATAATAAAAAAATGGTTTAATATATTGTTAAAATATTAATATAAATTTTAAATAATACGTATAAATTTATTTATTAAATTTTTTTTTATTATATACCGTAATAATTACCATTTAATTTATATTTAAAATAAATTATTACCCGTATATATAACTTTTAATAATACTAGTAAAATTAAAAATATAATATATTATTACGGTTATAATATACGTTATAATGTTATTTAACGGTTTATTAAATAACATTATAATTTAATATTTAAATTAAAACTTTTATTTTTTTATATATATAAATAAAGTTTTATTATAATGATTTAATATTTTAAGTTTTTTTAAAACATCATTTTTTAATAATAATATTTTTTAATTTTAACTTTATAATAATTTATTATTATATTAATATAATATATTTTTTAAATTTTATAAACTTTATTAAATATTTTTAATAATATTTTTAAATTATATAAAACTTTATTTTATTATATTTTATTTTATAAAAATAAAAGTTATTTAATTAAATATATATATTTATAAAAGTAATATTAAATTAATTAATTAACTTTATTTAATTGCGTTTTATTTATTTCATGTATATTAATCGTGTTTTTTATCCCGTAAAAATAAAAGCTTTTTAATTAAATACATTTATTTATTATTTAATTATTTTAATTAATTTTTTATAATTTATTATTTAATTATTTAAATTTATTTTTTATAATTTTAAATTAAATATTAAATAATAATTAAAAATAAATTTATTTAAATGATTTTTTTTATAAGAAACGTTTATAATTTTAATATATATATATATTAATATATTAATTTAATTAATTTAATTATTAAAAAAGTTATTAATATAAAATTAATATATATCGGTTATATTTTAAAAAAGTTATAAAATAAAATAAAATAATTTTATTTTATTAAAAGTTTTAATTACCAATTATTTACACTTAATTTATAAAATAATTTATTTGAAAAAGCTGTTATGGTAATTTAAATTTAACATCACTTTAATCATTTATATAACCCCGTAAAAGTGCTTTTTATTTTATATTATTAATGTGTAATTGATCGCGTTACTTTCGATTCTAAGATAAAACTCAAAAGTAAAAGTCGTGGACACTTTGCTTGTCATAACTTGTGAAATTACCGCTTTTTTCAACACCACATGCGGACCATCTCTGTCTCAATGGCTGTTGTAAGTCTAGGAATCATTGGCTCTGTAGCTATTTTACAGTTACATAGGTTGAAATGCTCTTACCCCTCTAGCCTGTTGAAAAGGACCTAAATATTGCGTCCAGTCATCGAAGAGGTAAATGCCGTCGTCTCGTAACATCTTCACGGCTGCTAACTTGTATAGTCCTTTCCAAGTAATAGGAATTCGAAGATCGGATCCTGACACGGCGCGTGAGGCGGTCGATTCTAATGTAGTCACGTCCCATTGGACAATCTCGACAGTCACCTCTGCACCGGCGGAGAAGGATACAGTGAGATTTGCCTTGCTTCCTGGATCGGTTGTCGGGGACAGATACTTCGATAAGAATGCTTTCCTTACGGTAACAGCGTCGTCCACTACCCAGTAGTCTCTCGAAGCCCTGCGGCCTTTCCCATCTGACGTCTGGATGAATTTGATCTTGTTTCCATTCAATATGAATTTTACGGTCTGGTCCGTAACGTCGTCTCCTACTTTATGAAATATATAAGCGGAACTAGACTGTTCTTTAGCAGACCCGTCAGTTGTTGAATCCGATAAGCTGTTCGAAACCCCTTGTACGGCGTTGTTGATAATATCGATGAGATAAGGGTCACGCCAAGTATGGGTGGCACGATCCAAAGCGCCGTTGCCGTTATCCCAGAGGATAACGGATGTGTTGTACTTTCGAGCTGTTCGTACTGCAAAGTCATTATACTTCCTTCTCGCAGCGGGTTCTAAAAACGTGTTGGCCTCAAACTCGCCAATAACTAGAGGCACGTTGGTGAAGTTTCCTCGGATGTTTGCGAAGTCAGCTTAAAGACTCTCCTTGTCTGCGTCGGATCCCCATGTGGTTTTGCCCCTACAGAAACAGGTTAGTGTTATAGGTCAGGACTACTCCTCCCTCTCACCCACCAAGCTTGGAATATGAAATCATCTAAAGTAATGATTAGTTTTAGTGCTACAGTCTCGGGACCTTTACTTACATGGACTATAATAGTGATATTGGATAGCCCAGGGATTGGAATATCCAGTCGGAGCCTTGAACCAGTTTGAAGTTTTAATGCTATCCATACTACCTCCAACCAGCGTGACAACACGTTGTGCATTAAATCCTCCGGAGTCTGCAAGGGCCTTTAGAAACAGCTCGTTGATCCTATTGATTTTAGACCCATCTTCAGCAGAATTCGCCGGGGGCTCGTTGATCAGTTCAAAAACCAGTCTAGAAGATCTACATCCAAGTGTCTCCCCGATTTGGAGCCAGGCACTATATATCTTCTCCTCGATCATTGTAACATTAGCTTCGGATGCTGTTACATCAGCCCATTCCCAAGAATCTAGTCCGATGTAAGCCATTGAGAATATATTCCATGTCGCTATACATACCGTGGTGAATATTCGTGATTACGTATAAGTCTCTGTCCAAAGCCATGTCCACTACCTCGGAGACTCGCTTAAGCCACGCTGGGTCAATCGTCCAGTCGGGGGATTTCCCCGTGAAATGGTCCGCATATGTCACTAATAGTCCGTTTAGTCGCATTTATACTGCCATTGTACATGGTTATAGGGCTCTAACCTGGGATTCTCACGCTCTTGAAGCCGGCGGCTTTGGCGTCGTCAAAAGTTGACGCGACCACAGGTGGATTGTTCCAGCTACCCTCATTCGGGACTGCGTCCATCGTATTCCCGAGGTTCCAGCCTGGATTCATGGCGGATATAAAGTCAATAGCAGAAATTGGCTGAAAATCTCCTTCACATGAAACGATAGCATTAGACTCTCCGGGGCTGCGTTGAGCGGCAGCCCGGCCCAGGAGTGTCCATCTGATAACAACGGCGCCCTTCATGATACAGATTATATAGCTGATGTAGGTAACACGAGGCTAACTGATTTTTTAGATATATAAACCGGAAGGAAACGTCAGACTTGAGAATAATTCGAATTATAAGTAAATTATACCCCGATACGGGTTTACTTGGTCTATCAAGGTATGTAACCGGATTGTACGGTTCCGCAGTCTGTTTAAGCACTTCTCCGGAAGTGGAGAGCTAGCGTTTCATAGGAGAACCCGACCCTATTCATTTGTTAAAATGAACGTTTCCATATTTGTACCTATATGCGCGTGTGAATAATATAGTAATATTGAACCGACGGCTACTGCTACTTCGTAAGGGCTCATGTGTACCATGTAAAAGTAATCATCACGCGGGTAACCCATTTTATTTTGGTATAGTTAAAGTATAATCGAATTAGTATCAAATGTATCCAATACCCTATTACTTAGATACCAGGGAGATGAACACACAAGGCAGAAGACTCGTCTGGTATACCTAAGGAATAGTAGAAGCAACATTTTAGATAATCAATCAACTTAGTTTGCCCTCAGTAACAAAAGGAAATAGCGCCGGAAGATATTAGCGTTGTTCATCGAATGTTGCGCTCCCCCAGGGCGTTGCGCATTAATTGAAAAATACTACCATGCACTTCCATACATCGTGCGGCTTAAAGGAACACTTTTGACTAGTTAATTGATATAATAAGTTTATTAAACCCGATTAAATAATTCGTAACATTTATGATTTATTATCCGATAGGTTTGTAAACGTATGAGAAAAAAAAGGGGGAAATTTTTTTTTAGGGTGTAAAAAAAATAGAAGACAACTCCAAAGGAAAAAAAATTAGAAATTACTTTCCAAGGACCGAACGCGGATCGAACGCGTGACCTTAGGATGATTGCTGTAACTGCAATCCCACGCTCTACCACTGAGCTACCGGTCCACCTAATTGATGGAGATTTGCCCCATTATTTTAGCTTATATATTTAGCCACACCATAAGATAGTCGTTTTGGTGGGTCTCTCTAGTTAAGTCTTGATTTTTAGGCCCACGCAAAATTTTAAAATAGTACAGAAGGAATCTAGTTAAAGAGAATAATGTATAGTTACGTGGAATCCCTTTAAAGAACTTGTGCTAGTCGTCAAACTCACCCTATCGTATTCAACTGTAGCGACTGCTTTTATCAATTTCCCAAAGGCCTTGACTATCAAGGCGATATAGTATTATACGAGATGGCTTTGGCAGCATTTGGCCGTAGTGGTCACTCATAGGTAGGCATTTTCGAGTATTTCAGCATTTGGTGCCTTAGGCCGCTTCCCGGAGGTCTTTCATATTAAGCCAAAGAGAAGCAGCCCTATGTGAAACCTTTCCATATTAGTGGCAACTTATTTGTCATTCATTCAATAACGTTGCTTATAGCAATATTATCTGGCGGTCATACTATCACTGAATGTTGTCCTCGTTGAAGTGACAAGTCCTATCATCAAGTCTCGTTAGTAGCGATATGAAGTACCGTAATGGTGCGTGTCTTTTTTGATATGTTAATACTTTCCATTCGTCTATACTATACCTATCATCCCCTTTCCTTTAAGTTCCCTATTTCGCTTTTCACTATTTCAAATACTCTTCTCGCTTATGACTGGGTTAACCGGTACAGGGTGCATCTTGGACCCCTAGCTTTATCTTGCTTACCAATGTTTATGTCCTCGCCTCACAAATATCAATGTGCGTCTTCCTCCTGTAATTCGTCGAGTAATTTATAAACTGTCTGAGATGCAGCGTGATGTAAAGCAATTTAAGCTTTGGCGGCAGCTGTGCTCGCCTACGTGCAGAGGGAGTGATAGGCGTTATGTGAGGACTTTTGCCGGTGACGAAGAATCCACTTGGTATATTTGCCGGGCTGGGAAATAATCTTACTTGCCACTTATTCCATGTGCAAATTAGATACCCATGTCACCGGCAAAATAATTATAGTAATGCGGATGAGATCTGGTTCCCCCATGGGGACGATCTGTACCACTTTGCCTCCATTCCAGTGTAGGCTTTCAACTACCGCGACATGTAGTATGTATAGGAATATATTAGTTCTGGTTAGGTTGGGCGGGCAGAGAGATAAGTGGCCACGCATGAGATTTCACTGCTCTCTGAGTGTAGAACCGCACTTATAAGAGCTAACCGGTCACCAGGCTTTGAGACCTGCTTCGTTTGGTTCGCCTTCTCCTGCACGCCTCTGTTGCCAAGACAAATCCGCCGCCGAGATGAAGTCGTTCACCATCGCACTCGCGCTCGCTGCGCCAGTCCAGGCTGGTCTGCGCTTTGGATGCTCATCGTTGACCACCCAGCGTCTTGACCCTGTCGTCGAGCCTGGCAACAACCCTTCGGCCCATGTTCACCACATCGTAGGCGGAAACGCCTTCAACGCCACGATGACTGGTGATGTTGGCGCGAGGGCCACCTGCACCACCTGCGAGATGTCCGAGGACTTCTCAAACTACTGGACTGCTGTGTTATACTTCAAGCACCCGACCAATGGCAGCTATCACCGAGTTCCGGTGACTAACAATGCTGCTCTGGCAGCCGGTACTAAGGGTGGCATGACTGTCTACTACACACCATACGATTTCACCACCGACAACTTGAGGAACCAGCCCATCACGGCTTTCAAGCCGGTAAGTCTCCTGGATGTTATGTTACGGCTTAGGATTTTGATGCTTTGTAGGGTTTCCGCATGACGGTTGGCAGCCCGACAACCGACACCCTCGATCAGGCTAAGGGCCACATTGGTCTGCGATACAACTGCCTGCAGACCACCCTCAACAGAGGTCCGGAGATGGTGGACTTCCCCGATAGGCCCTGCCCGGGCGGTATCTTCGCTGTTCACCACTTCCCAGCGTTAGTAACTCACTACCCTTAAACAGGAGCTTATAATAACAATGATCAGATGCTGGGATGGCAAGAACCTTGACAGCCCCGACCACCAGTCACACATGTACAACACCATCACGTCTGACGGCTTCACGAATGCTCCAGCGTGTCCGGCATCACACCCTATCCGGATGCCACAAGTAACTTACGAGACCGTCTGGGACACCACCAAGTTCAACAGCTTGTGGCCTTCGGGAACCCCCAACCCATTCGTGTGGAGTTTCGAAGGAAGCAGTGGATATGGCACTCACGCTGACTACATGTTCGGCTGGAAAGGCGACTCGTTGCAGCGCGCCATGAACAAGTCCGAATGCTTCTACGATGGCTGCGGTTCCATCACGAAGCAAACCATGGCGGTGGCTAACCAGTGCACCGTCCCTGACATGGTCGGCGAGGAAACCGACGGATGTAAGTTTTGAATCATCCTAGGAAAAATGCTTAGACACTGACTTGTTATAGGGCTTGACCACCTTCCGGGTATGAAGATGTAAGAGGGGTATACCAGTAAATATTTCATAGTGGAAGCGGTGACGACTCTCCGCGATTCGAAGTAGAAGCTCGTTCGTTTCGTCTTATAAATCCATTGGGTCATGGTCAGTTTTGGTAAAGAGAGCCCATAGTTATTTTAGAAATGGCGCTTCGCGTCATATCACTTGCAACACTCTTTCGAGACGTGATGCTAGCTACGGCACTTATGTGAATGCTATAACGCTGGCTACTTGTTGAGACACGCGTAGAGCTAATACTCTGAGCGTCTTGAGCAGGATACCGCAATTTGTGTAGATATGCGTGACAGGTGAGATGTAAGAAGAATCCTTGCTGTTGGAATATATTATCTGGTGAGCTTGTTCTACTAACTACGGGTAGGTTCAAGACTTAATGAATGAAGAGGATTCTGGCTCTCAAGTTTCAAGCTATGAAAATCATAAGTCATTCTAGTTTGATATGGGATTTCCGCCAACCCCGAAACTAATAACAGAAACATAACCAAGTTAGGGCCTCGTGTTAAATCATCATAAAGTGTTTACGGATCGGCGGCTAAGAGAAAAACAGATAAGATGCCATCAATTAGTCGTCAATGGACAGCGGAGCCTTTTCCGCCATGCTCAAGTTCCTCTTCCTCGTCATCGTTCTCGACGTCGTCATCGCGCTTTTTCTTCTGTTGGCGCAGGAAGTTCTTAAAGCCGCGGCTCATCTTGACTACAGCTCTCAGGTGCTTGTCAGTGACCGTGACTCTATCCTTGTCGTTCTCAAGTGCCTCGGTCTCCGCAAGCGCGACAGCAGTCTGAAGGGCATTGCGAATCTCGCGGCCATTCCAGCGCAGGCTCTGCACGTCATTGCTTTCATAGGCGTACTCGCGCGTCGCTACGCTGATATGTACTTTACCATCGCTATCGCGTTCGAGTCGCTCGAAGCTATTGAGCCAGATCTTCTCTCGGTCAGCGTCCGTTAGCGGCTTGTAATGCAAGGCTACGTGGATGCGTGACGTGAAGGCTGAATCAAAGGTTTGTACTCGGTTTGTCGTTAGGAATAATACTCCTCGGTGATATTCAAGTGCCCGTAGGAAGACTGAGACTAGCTTGTTCCTCGATATGTCCAATGCGTGTCGGGCCTCGAGGTACACATCGGCCTCATCGATCAATACTACGGCACCGTAGCGTTCACCTAGTTTCAGGAAATAGTCGAGGCTCCTCTCTACCTAATCCACGATCTAGGGTTAGTAGATATTTAAATGACGACGGATTTCTTTTTTGCTCGAAGTGTATATAGAAGGAAATATATAAACCACTGCCTTGAGTAACTTGCGGGCATGACACCCTTTTGTATGGGAATAGGGAACGTTGAATACTAACATTATAAGAGTCGATGTTAAGGTCACCGCTCGTGAGCGACAGCAGAGGACGACAGGTGAGCTCTGCAACACATTCGGCAGTACATGTCTTACCTACGCCTGGAGGTCCGTGGAGGAGGAAGATCCGGCCTTCACCCTTGTTCTTGACGAAGTCGTTTGGCCATGGACTGACCTGACCATGGGTACTGGCAAACCTACCAATGAGTGACCGAACCGTAAGCTTTACCTCGTCATCTAACACGAGGTGCTTGAAGGCTTCCTTGTCAAACTCGACATATTCGAGATTCTCAACGTTGAAGTAACCCCAACGTCGATCCCGGAGTATGAATCCGGAGACAATTTTACTCAAGACTATATAGTAGAGGTTTATTTCTGGTGGCGGGTCGCTGGCTGGGTCGAGATCTTGGAATGTAGCAAATGGGCTCAAAACATCCTTTGGACTTGCTTTAGTACAAGCACTACAGGTGCACTTGGGGGCGAAATAAGGTAGTTGGTCTTTGCGCGGCGGCGGGCGACTATGTGGGGGAATACGTGCTCGTGGCTGGCGGTTCTTTCTTTCAGGATGATCAAAGGAGTAGTGTGAGAAACCGACATTGTCAACAATAACACGACCTTCCAAGTAGCCTGTAGCGCTTAGATAATCTCGGTCAAAGTCAGGCTCCTTCTCGACCAGAAGCCCGTTATAGAACATATGATTTGGTCCCTTTGAAAGTTCCCAGACTCTCTTCCCGAGTAGAACTTGCTTGGCCATAGCTTCCTCGGGAGTGGCATTGCCATTTTCACCCTGAAAGAAACGGGCGGGAATGACGGGAAGGTTTTTGATAACCTCTTCTCCATTGAAGGGGTCGATATCAAACGAGTGCATGGTACGGCAGAACCTTTCCGAAGTATATGTAATATTCCAGCACTGGACAGTATATGGAGTGCTACCTTCGTTGACGGATGGGCCACGGGCGATACTGGAAATAATGAACGGAGTCCACTGGCGGTCGTATTTGGCATAAACGATATCGCCAGGTTTCAATATAAGCCAGAGGTTGTCGAAGGTGGCCAAAGGTACTTTGCTATTGTGTCTCTTCTCTTCTTCATGGATCTGGGTTCCCAAAGTTTTCTCAAGAAAATCAAGGAGTACATCGATGTGCTTAGCAGTTGTAAGGACATATTCATCATCATGGGTCTCTGGTTGGTTGATCTTATAACGAGCAAGCGCTACTTGGTGATGGGCGAGCATGTGGTATGGTGCATTGATAGTAACAGTATCTCCGAGGAGGGACGTATCGGGATAATACTCCACCACAGCCCTCAGAGCATTGATTAGATGGATCGAATTGATGACCATAGACGTATTTTCGACCTTGACAATATTCACCCCTGTATTTTCGTCATGCTCCCGTCCGCGAGCGTGGCGATGGGAATACTCATTGTCCATGTCAAAGTCGAAGCCAGGATCGCACTGGTGACGATGCGGATAAGGGATATGGTCAAATTGCGGCCTATCCTTCTTTAAGGAGGCCGTGACCTTAGTTACGATCTCGAGGATAGGCTTTCTTGTCGAAGCTCCCCCTTCGTCAATGCCATCCAGCTCGATGTCGATAGGCTCTCGGCTACGACGCACTGCCGATTTCATTAGCAAAGATTAGTTATAAGCTCTAACAATGAGACGACTTACAATTAACGAGCTTCCCACTAAATGCCTTGTACTGGAGCACATAACAGATATCTGGGACCTCATCCTCAGTAATCTCTGTGGCTGCGCCACCATCGACGACTGATTTTGCAACGAGGGCTCTGAGTTTCTCAATATTTTTATCCTCACCTAGTCCAAAGACTTTACCAGAGGGGCTAATCTCTTCGAAACTAGCAACAGAGCTGTTGTCGTCCATCTAATGAATGTCTCTTGGGTGAATGGGTTTGAGATATTAGAAAGATAGAATGTGAAAGGGAACGAGCAATGCGTTGGCGGGAGGCTAACTAATTTATAACTTCCAACGCACTACAGCCTTACCTAGGTACTTACCTAGGTATCTATGTAGGCTACGGGTATTCCGTGATAAGTAGCTCGTTGCAAGGCAGTAGTGCTGACCAGTCTGCCTAACTATGCAGGCTGTGCCAATAGCAGAATAGCTTCGTTAAACGAGTGAGACTGCGGCTAAGTCGTGAGACTCCAACATGCAGCCTTACGTTAGTCCGTCCAATAAGACGCTGCGATGACACCATATCATGTAGACAACCAGCGGGGTTTTTAGCCAAGACCTAGAACATTCCGCGGAAGTCCTTGAGTGAGACGTAGGTCAGTAGCCGTAGGCTACAGCCAACATGATGGTATTGAATATCAAGTGTTGAATACGTATACACTAGTTCTTCACGGTACTCCTCCCCGAAAGAAAATTCAGATACTCAGAACCCTATGTAGGAATTATACCGCTTGTCTTCATACTCTGTTCAAATATCTATAGTGAAGCTTCCGGTTCTACACTCAAGTTAGCATTTTCTACTATTGTCAGTCGGGCCTAGTTAATTTAAACGTACGATAGAACGGCACATGATGCCCTGCTTCAAAAATACGCATAAAGGTTAAATTATCGAGAGATTTGAATACTCCTTTTTGCGTACCGTTGAGAGTGTATGGTGTCATGTCCTGGTTCGTGAACGTCTTCTTTCCGGGCCATTCAATTAAATCTACCACTCTTAGAGTCCCGAGCCAATTAGAGACGTAGTCGGCATCACCTGTCCAAACCACCACCCTGACACTTGCTTGCACGACAGCCGAGAGTTGGGTCATGAATGAACGTGCATCTACCACTCTTATTAGTACCTCGCGTAGTATATGTGAACATGGATAGTTATACCGTCACCTGAATAGATGAAACCTGCGGCCCCGGCGGGCTCCGAATAATTTACTTTTGCCCCAAGAGCTTCTTGTACGTCGAGTCTTTGTAAGTATGCAACATGTGTCGAAGGGGCTCGTAATGATGGGTCGCGAATGTCGCCGAGATAGAATCCAGGATGGTCTTTGTTTAGAACGCCAAGTATTGGATATTCGATCTCATCCATACATGACTTCCATGCGGCAAAACAAGTATCAGTCGTACCGACATCTGCACATCGATCAAACGCAGGCTTGCATTTTGTGTCGTACCGCGTTAGAAGCTCTTTATAGAAGGTCTCGTTAATGAGCTGTCTATACGAATTGTTGTACAAGTACTCGATGTTAGCCTTTTCTTGAATAGTAGCGTCGAACCACCCATTGCTGACACCCAGGGCTACTAAGCGGATCTCTTCGGCATGAAGATCGCCTCGAGAAATTGCGGCGTTCTGGTCCAAGATATAGCTCGCGAACTCGGGTCCATAATGACCACCGTACGACTCGGTGAAGATACCAAAGTCGCGATTTTCATATTCGGGAAAACTGTCGTAAAAGGCTTGAAGCAGATTCCAGACTAGAGGAGCAGCCGCTTTAGTCGAATTGACAGTGGCGTTGCCATACGAGAACCCGACACCTATTGGCTAGTCGACATAGAGCATGTTGGCGTAGCTATTGAAACTGTACGGGTTTAAAGACGGTGATGTTTCGTTATTGACAAAATGACAAGGCACATTCTGAGTGAAAAACCCATATTCGGATGCGTCCCCCGGTCCACCCTCGAAATATGCTACAAGTGGTGCCTGTCGAGGATTCTCGCGAGCTTCGAAGAACCTTTAAGGATGTGTCAACTTCATTCCCTCAACGCTGAGGCCCGTATCATGTTAACCTACCAGAACCACATGTTCATGCCCTCACCCACCGAGAGATACCCAGAGTACTGGTTAACACCCGGGGTTGTTTCGCAGATGCCCGAGTTCTTGACAAATGATAATCTGGACTTCGTGGCGCTGTGCTCAAAAACGTTGTACTTGACCCCATCCTGCTCCTCAAGGTATCGCTTGTTGGCAGTGCTTGGCGAAATTGGGCTGGCGATTGTTGACGCAGCCAGAAACGTCCCGACAGCCAGTTCAAGTATCCACCACATCGCGAAAGATAGGGCATTTACCCATCGTGAATCCTCTTAGATAGATAGGAACAGCTCCCTAGTATCTACGGCTTTAAGACTTCGGCAAACGGTACGAACTGATCCCCGATGTGGGTCTTGGCGTTCGGAGCCGAACTTCTTGATACCGTTAGTCTCGTTCGGGGCTCAGCAGAACAGCATCTCTTTTCCACGTTCCACGTCCCGGCTCTCTCGTTTCTCACATTTATTTAAGTATCGTCCTATTTGTCCCCTTGGAATAGATTAGAGCCGGGGTTGTGTCTAGAAGAGAGTCCCGTGATGGAGACATTGAAGAGTTGCGACTCGTGCAAGGCGCGAAAAGTGCGATGTAATGGTAAGCCTACTACACGTATAAATCAATAACCACTTCTGTGACATCGGCAACTTGAGGCTCAAGTCAATTCACAGGGTACCCTGGCCCTTGTAATCACTGCGTTGTAAGTAGTTCAGCCATGATGTCTTTGGAGCGCTAGTCTTTGCTAATGCCCCGCGAAGCGCCGAAAGGCGCAGTGCCATTTCAGTCGTAGGAAAATGCCCCAAAGACGAAATGGTAAGTAGAATACTATTACATACTATAAAAGACTACTTGGGATTATATGGTTTACTAAGGTTAAAATAGTAAATATCGTCCTCACATCTCCTGCGTCACCAAAAACCCAGCGTCCGAGTGCGGCTCAAGTCGCTGAAAACGTAAAGTCTTACCCCAATATAGCGACCCTTTATAGAATCGGGATTGACCTATACTAAAGACTCGGCGACCTTTGCCCGAGTTGTACGTTGATCGTATATTAGCCACAGCCGGAACGGCTAGAGCTCTCGGAAACGAAAAACCATTCGCAGTTAAAGTACACCCTTCTTGACCCCTATTGTATATACTGCTCTACTAAATGCACCAGGGGATCGGACTAGTCAGCACGTTGTGGCCACCCCTACTAAGTTGATAAGTTGCTAATAGTGCTCGATCCAGTTGGAAACGCTAGCTTGACATTCTTTTCTGACAATCGATTGTCATACTTATCTTCCCGCTTGAGGAATGATAAAGTAAACCGGCTAATCCAGAGAATATCTTCTGTGATTGCTTCTCGACTGCAGCATCACGGTAAGTATAAGTAGCCACCCAAACAACTCAATAGAGAAGCTAATTTGCATTTATAGCAAATGTAGCGACTCCGGGTTCTATGTGTAGTATAAGGGGGGATCAGAAAGATGCTCTCGCACTTCCTGATACTGCTGAGGCAAATGCCCACATCAAATGTTATTTTCCTTAATCTCTAGTTCGCTGACGCAGTCTGTCTAACTCAACAATAGTATACTTTGAGCGGATCCATCCCATCTACCCCTTCCTCGATCAAAAAGATTTCGAAGCTATGGCTCATGCCCCTTATTTCGCTGACCGTCTAGCGCATAGTAAAGCGCTATACGCTCTATATAACGCGGTCGTCGCCCTGGGATGCCAGGCTGGGAGTGGAGGAAAATTCGAACCGGGTAAGGGGAGGGCCTGGCAGTATATGACAAGGGCACTTGCCGTCCTGCCAGACCTCTTTTCGCTGCCAGATTCTCTAGATGTTCTCCAGGCGATGACTGCCTTGACTATATATTCTCTCAGGTGTGTGACTCGGCTCGGCTCCTAGCATTAGTGATACAGATGTGTCGCCATTAGGAAACAGCGCGGGGGGGGGGGGGGGGGGGGGGGGGGGGGGGGGGGGGGGGGGGGGGGGGGGGGGGGGGGGGGGGGGGGGGTGGGGGGGGGGGGGGGGGGGGGGGC